ACTTCCAGTGTTGGGGCATTCACAACTTCTGGAGGCAAATTGTTCTAACTGTCAGGAAGTTTCTCCTCAATTCTAAGTTGCTTCTCTCCTTAGTTAGTTTCCACCCCTTCTTGTTCTGCCCTCAGGTGCCTTGGAAAATAGTTTGACTCCCTCTTCTTTGTGGCAACCCCTGAGATATTGGAACACTGCTATCATGTCTCCCCTAGTCCTTCTTTCTAGTAAACTAGACATACCCAGTTCCTGCAACCGTTCTTTATATGTTTTAGTCTCCAGTCCCCTAATCATCTTTGTTGCTCTTCTCTGCACTCTTTCTAGAATCTCCACATCTTTTCTACATCGTGGTAACCAAAACTGAATGCAGTATTCCAAGTGTGGCCTTACCAAGGCATTATGAAGTGGTATTAACATTTAATGTGATCTTTATTCTATTCCTGTTTATGCAGCCTAGAACTGTGTTGGCTTTTTTGGCAGCTGCTGCACACTGCTAGCTCATATTTAAATGGTTGTCCATTTTATTTTATACTAATACTAAGCATGCTCATAAATATAGGAGACATCTCCAGTCATATGTTCATAGATTGGTGATAATAGAACAAATGTTACTATGTTTCATAAACTCCTTCACTCTCTTTTTGAGAGTGCTTGTAGATGGAGAGTAAGCATTTCAATTAGAACAGCATTCTTTTTATCCAGCACTACAATCTAAAATGTTTCCTGTCTAAAAAAAGCAAAATTAAGAAAACCTTACTTTAGTAGTGTCCAATTTGCTGTGATGAAGTTCCAAAACCTGCAATGCAGCTTGAAGATTCGCTTGTGGCTCTAAGAGTTCCATCTTGATTGGTCCCAAGCAATGAACACTAGGTGGTGAAAGATACATTCGGAGCAGAGACAAGTATACCTGTTTCATACAGAACAAACCATTGTGTGTGGGTTTTTAAAAAAAATAAACCCTCCAAAATAACTTGCTTTAAGTACGTCCCTCTCCAACAGAGAGAAACCTATTCTAGCTACAATTCTATACAATTGTATAAAACAACTGAGTTACAGAGAATGGGGTGAAAATATGAATTTAGGTAACAGCAGGTAAACTATCCTTGTGTACTGCTGCTGGTATATGAACATTGAAAACAATTAAATATATCTATCACAAATTGCCAGGATGAAAAAAAAAGTTTTACACTTTCAGCCACCACTTTGGGGGCTGTAAAATGGATGCTAACTGGTTCCATATAGCCATAAGCACTCTTTGCTTAAAGTGTGTAAAACCAATGGTTTCATTAAGTAAACTGAGATATTTCTGCCAGAACAGAATGGAGGAGAAAAATGACTCTGCCCTAACATTCTACATGGAACTATTTATGAAGAATGTTAATGCAGAACATGGTTGGTAGGAACTTACAGAGATAGCTTGGGATAATGTAACACTGATCTTATAAACTACACTGGCTTCTATATTAGACTTTAAATACCAATATAAAAAAGCAGCTAACAAATAATAACAATCCATTATTATGTTCTTTATAGCATTTAAGCAACTTTTTAATCTAATGCAAAATTATATGCTTTGATTTGCCAAATGAAATTAAGCATTCCTCTATTTCACTATTTTTATCTAATTATTGCATAATGTCTTTTCAAATGTGAGTTTAGTCTCAATCTGCAAATTTATTCCAACAAAATCACATGTCAATAGATCAATAGCAAGTGGAGAAGTAGTTGGTAATTAGTACTATAGGAAGGACAATGGCTTAAAGATTCATTTACATTTTGACTTCCTCCACATCCCCATGCTGCCTATTTATTATTTTTCATAGCACTTACTGTATCTACTATCTGCATTTAATTATGTAGTAAAGGTCAGATATCTGTTTAATAAACACAGGGCATTAACTTTAAAATGTTGAAAAACAAGTTACTCACATCTTTACTGCCATCTTTGTTTCGGTCATAGTGTTTGTGACAGTAACTGAAAACAACAAGAAGAAATTCAGAGCAAAACCTGAACAGAAGCCTAGCATATTATAAACTACATATTTTGAATTTTAATAGCAGTTAATAGCAAATGCTACAGATATTCAAACAGATTTCTTATTTGGCAAAAACACTGGATAGGTCTAATTACTCTGAAAAAATAACAAGAGTTATTGGAGAATATTTAATTTTATAAAATTAGAGAATTGGTAAATTCTGCTGAATGTATTTTATTGAAGTCCTACTTATAAGTCCCAACATGATTTCAAAAGAAACAAGTTCAAAATCTCTTAAATGTTATAGACCAGCGATGGCAAACCTTTTTTGACTCGCGTGCCATAAGTGGAGGGAGCACAGGGGGGTCGTGTGCGAGCGTGCCGCACCCATAATGCAATGCGCGATCCTTCAGTGCGCATGCGTGCACTACAGGCACGACCCATTTTTTTCATGGCTTTTTCACCCTCCCCAAGCTCCAGAGGCTTTATAGGAGCCTGGGGAGGGCAAAAACAGCCTCCCCTGCCCCCTCCCAGAAGCCTTCCGGAGGCTTCAGGGACCTTCAGGAGGCTTCCCTGAAGCCTCCGAAGCAGTCAAAATGACCTTCCGAGAAAACAGGAAGTCACTTACAATTTGCTCGGAGGATCATTTTGAGCGCTCCGAAGGCTTCAGGGACTTTCAGGAGGCTTCCCTGAAGCCTCCGGAGCAGTCAAAATGACCCTGCGAGAAGTCTGTTCCTGAACTTCTGGTTTGCCCGTAGGGCCAGTTTTTTGCGCTCCGGAGGCTTCAGGGAAGTTCATGAAGCCTCCGGAGGGCCTCTGGGAGGGTCGGGGGAGGCTCTTTTCATCCTTCCCAGGCTCCTATGAAGCCTCTGGAGCCTGGGAAGAGTGAAAAATGGCTTAAAAAAAGGGTGAAGTCAGCTGGCCAGCTAACAGAGCGCGTGCCATAGGTTCGCCATCACTGTTATAGACATTTCACACAACTCTCTTTAAAGACTTCAGAAATTTTGGGCAATGATGTCAGATTTTAACTTGAATCTGCCTATATTTCTTGGAATTCCCTTCAAATCTGTGTCAAGCAAAACCATATAGGTCAGCTATTCTTCTTTGAAACTATATGCAAATTGCATACTGTGTTGGAGTGAACTGCCAAGATTACAAAAACATTCTAGTTCATTACAGTGACACTGAAACTATCATGATGCATTGTGGTTACATAAACTTTAAAATTAGTTTTGTATCAACAACAAAATAGAGAAAACAAGATGGTCTAATAACAGTTGCTAATAAGTTAATGGTTATAGGTTTCAAATTTTACAAAGCATGCTCATACTTTTCAGCTATCTTGGTGTCCTTTAGGATGTGAACATATATAAATAGAGCTTGCTCGTGATTTCCCATGCGTCCCAAGAGCAGTGCACGTTCTTCTAGGAGACCTGAGGGCAGGAGGAGAAAAACAGCACTCAGTGGCAATAAAATGTATAAAGCAGTCTATAAGAATATGTATAGTAGTGAAAAAGAAGGAATGAACCAATGGAGGAGGTTGGAATAAAATATACATTGCTGTTTAAATTATGGGCCTGCAAAGAAGCAAATCATTCAAAAGAGAGGCTATGCAAAGCATCACTTTTCAAATTTTTAAAAACTACCCTGTCTTTTTCTAGGCTTATATAAATTCAGGAATGCCTACTGACTAAATCAAAATCTTTAATTACAATCATAGATCAGAAAACTGTTAATTATTTTTGCAGACATGTCTAGTTGGATTTTCCTTATTTATTTAAATCAATTTATATGGCTGCCCATTTCACAAATCTAAATCTGGGTGGCTAATATGAATTAAAAATATAAAAGAAATGATACCTAACTACCTAGTTAGACAGACAATTCTATGCTTTTAACTATTTTAGAAGTTATTTCCAACACACAAATTCATTAGTTTATTCTACTGAACTCCAATGTGATTCCCCATAGAGCCATTGTTCATATATGGTTCTTAATCAAAGATTGCAGGGGCTTTTTGTTGTCAATCTGCAGACTAAAGCCTTAAATAATAGGCTGATACTAGTGGGAATCCTTAGTTAAATACTAAAAGAAAAATATCCCTGAAATACTGTAAATGTTGCACAGCATGGGTTACTGTTTATTCTTACCATCAAAGGGAAAGTCACTGATGAGTTGCTCAGCATTGTAATAATTGGAACTCTCAAGGAAGGAAAGAAGCTTTTTTCGGTACTCTCCAAGTTCCCCCTCTTCCTCTCCAGCTGGCACTGGTGTTTCATCTGTCAGAAAAGAATTTCATATGTGACTAAATATGTCTTACTGCTGTTCTTTATGTTTGGCTCTCTGTAATATTCTACTAAAAATGCACATAAGCATTTTTTCTTCCTTGACTGGAAATGATCAATATAAAGTTAATGTTTCTGTAGATCTTCTAAAAATGTTCTCTTACTTAAGTGAGCAAACAAACAGCGCTACCCATATACTCCAGAATCACAGGGGCTCCCCTCTGCAACAATCCCAACTCTACTTTTGCTTCTGGTTATGCATAATAATATAAATCACGGGTAAAAATACCTGGAGGGAAAGAAGTGAGATATTCCTTCATTAGGCCTTGTACTTTCTCACAGTAGAGCTGAATCAGACAATTGTGAAACTCCGAACCAATCTCATTCCAGATATCAATTACATGCTCCTGAAAATATATGTACATATACCGAATATAAGAGTTAATGCTATGTATCGCTAGAATTTTGTAATATTTCAAAATGTGATCATCAGGGATTCAAAATGACTATGTATCACCTTATTTAACTATTAGAACTAATTTTAATTTTTTTTTAAAAAAAGATGGCTAAAATTACTTCTTTTGTAAATAATATGAGAAATAAAGTATTAGATTTTTAAAAAGTAGATTATTACAATTTTAGTTCTTACCAAGTAAGGAATGGCGAGGTTTTTAAAATTCTCTAACAAGAAGTTCAGAATCTTTTTTCGTGGCAGGGATTCTACTTCAGGAAGATCTTCTGTAAATATCTGCCAAACAAATGGTTGAATTTCCAAAGCTGATATTTGCATATTTACTCTGATTTTATTAAAGATCAAATAAAGACCACTGTATTATATATAAAGGCTACCATACTGGGATAAGACTTGGGATGCTACATTAGCTCACCCATTCATTGGGTGATTCTGGGGTGGTCACTATCTTTCAATTCAACCTGCCCCACGGGACTATTGAGTTAGGCAAAAACAGGAAGGTGGGAATGTTATTTAAGCCACCTTGAGCTCCTAGAAACAGAAGTAGTAACAAATAAAAGAAATATGCAATACTCTCTGATCAAATATCTATAATTAACTTTTCTTTAACCTCCTCAAAGACTAATCAATATCTTTCCTATCAATCCACCTTTCTCTTTATATTTCTTATGATTTGCTATTATGGAGCTGATGAACCTTTATCATCTTAGGACCTTAATATAGAGCCTGAAGGTAACAGTACCCACCATCACGTTTTTAGCTCTGTCAAGCTCTTTGCCCATATTGCTTTAATAAAGAGTTTTAATAAAAAGGAATGGAAAATTAGCATACTGGAGCATAAAGCATTTGTTTCAAGCAAAATCCATCTTGTCCTTATATTTTCTACTTTAAAAAGTCTTGAGACTTTTTATACAATGTTTAGTTTCTTGTATTGTCAATATTGTAATCCAAACTTAGTGTCATATGTAGAAAAGCAAGATATGTTAAAACCTGAGATTAACTCTGTAAATATTCCGAATGAGGTCAGACAATGATATGCTACATAGTTGAAATTGTACTGCCTACCAAACACATGCTTCATTCTTTTTGGATGGATTACAATATAGCTTATAATTTATCTTCGAGGATAAATTGTTATTCAAAATAGTCCCCATGTGGAGTATATAGTCACAATAATTAAAAGTAATCCTTAACCTATTTAATAGCTTTAGGAATATTAATCAAACTGGCAGCAACCTGCCTAAGACTATTTACTTTGCTATCATAATGGTCAGTGAAGAGAACCGTTCCGCCTCTCTGTTTTTAAATGTATTCAAGTGTACTTACTTTTAATCCATCTTCAGGAAAATCCCTAAGTACCCAAACTGAATAGGAAAATATTAAATTCAAGTTCTCTGTTCCTACAGTATAAAACAAAGATGTCAAATTAAAGAACTATAAAGGTACCGTGTTTCCCCGAAAATACGACCTGTCCTGAAACTAAGGCCTTGCCACATTTTTCGACTGGGCAAAAATATAAGCCAGCCCCCAAAAATAAGCCCCCTGGACAATCCCCCCTCCAGCTAGGCAGAGCGCCACACACAAACTTAGTGATATCCCGAAGGCGCCAAGCCGCAGAAGCTGGGAAGGAGGGTGGGGCCAATGCACTCAGATTGCTTGCCGCCTTTGGGATACCGCTAGGTTGGTGAGTGGCGCTGTGCCCAGCTGGAGCGGGGGGTTGCCAGGCGGCTGCTCTCACAAGCAGCTGCCCAGCAACCCCCCTTTCCAGCCGGGCAGAATGCCACTCACTGACCCAGTAATATCCCAAAGGTGGTAAGCCACATGGCGCTCTACTAAGCTGGAAAGGGAGGTTGTTCGAGTGCCTGTTCTGCCCCAGCTTGCGTGCCTCCCAGCATCACTATGCCCCGGCCCAGGTCTCCCTGTAGCGCCAGGGCAGCGCCACCACTGCCGCTGTGGCACTCCAAGCATAACCGGCTTCCGAACTCTGGAGATCCGCTGCCGAGTCTTCTGATAGTGGCCACTCTGGGATACGCTCTATGGTTGTGGGCCAGCTGCCAGAAGACTCTCTGTCCCACCAGTCTTCCAACTCTGATCCAAGGAAGTTCTAAATACTCCCCTCCTGATTTGTAGGTCACAGCTTTCTTACTACTACACATACCATGATTATCATCCAGCATTCTGGAGAGCTGCTGATTCTTTCAGTAGCTGCTTGTTTGTTGTTTTCCCTCTTGTTTGTATCCCCTACCTTTGGTTTGTGAGCCGCCCTGAGTCCCTCCGGGAATAGGGCAGCATATAAATGCAATCAAATCAAATCAAGATGCTATAAAAACTCCTGCCAGACATACTTTTGTGGGGTCCTTGGTGTTTCTGAGCTTGATGGTTGGTGCTTGGTGGACATTTTTTAGGAAAATGTTCACTTGTGCTGAGAAAAAAATGCTATTCACCGACTTTCATGTAAACATTATCTGTCTAATTTCTCATTTTATAATGTGAACTTAAATATTGTTATGATGGAAATAAATCCAATCATTAAATTGTTTACTTTTGTGATAACCATTAACCATTTTTCTTGATATGTGAAATAATACAATATACCACAACACCAAATACAAAGAAAGTAAATCAACTTCACTCACCCAAATGTTGTAAATACTGAACAGTTCTTTCATGACCCTTCAAAGGAGAATTAGCTTTCTTGGACTGATCCACTAGCACCTGCAAGGCTTCAGCAAAATAAAACTCTATTTCATTATCTTTTAAGTTAAACAGTAGGATTGTGCAAAACTATTTGGAGGACTATTCTGTGAAGTATCTTTCCAAACTTGCTGTTCAAAGCATTATAGTGTGGAATCCTTTTCCAGGCTCAACATAGCTGCTTTGAGGGCCATTTATAATGTCTGACCATAAATATGCATGCCAGATGTTAGTTTCAGTGGCGCAGTGGTTAGAGTGCAGTACTGAGGGCTACTTCTGTTGACTGCCGGCTGCCTGCAATTTGGCAGTTCAAATCCCACCAGGCTCAAGGTTGACTCAGCCTTCCATCCTTCCGAGGTGGGTAAAATGAGGACCCAGATTGTTGGGGGCAATATGCTGACACTGTAAACTGCTTAAAGCGGGCTTAGAGAGGACTGTAAAGAGGTATATAAATCGAAGTGCTATCACTATTGCTATTCACTCTGGTTACAAATCTGACAATACTGTACTATAAACTATGTAGCCCGGTATGAACATCACACTGCAATCTTTAATTTCCTTCCTCATAAAAAAAATACTGATCTCACTTGCTAGTTTACTCTATGCAAAATTTGCTCATACATTATACTACCAAAAATGAATAGCTTAAAGAGATGTGGAAACCCCTTTGGTTCCTTCTTTCCTTACCCTTTTCGTGGAGACCTTTCTTTTCATATAGTATGATTAATTCACTGTATTTATGAGCTTTCTTGAGCACATGCTCACTTTCCTCAATATGGCAATGATTGTTCTCCAGTCTCAATAATGGTGCCACTAAGGCTACATTTGTCTGTAATAAAAAGAAATTTAATGGAATTGGAAACAAATTCATATCACAAAATGAAACGTGAATCAAGGAAATGAGGTAGTGAAACTATTTTGCAAGTAATGAGATTGTTAGTAATAGAAATGGGATGGCAATCTACTCTTCTCCCTTTATAAACATTCCAGTGTATGCCAGTTCAATAATAACCTTAAGATACTATCACAAACCTACAATATCCTTTTCCCTGTTGAACAGTAAATGTTGTAAGGCATATATAGTTATTTTTACTAGGAATGAAGGCAGTTGTAATATAAAGACTTGAAACTTTGAAACTTTAATAGAATTTGTATGCCGCCCACTCCCTAGGGACTCATAACATGCTCCTCAGCAAATCCTCTTGACTTCACAACTGAAGCTAATGAGGATTTCCAAGGGGAAAATGGCAAACTGAAGACTCCTCTGCTAAAAGTAATAGATTGGCTCTTTGTAATTACTCTCCAGACAAGGAGAAGACATGAGATCATTCATAAGTGCTCTGTAGAGATGTTTCCTCTGACAAGGCTGCAAGACAGCAGTCTCTAGGAGAACTAGAACTCTGGAGAAGAGGAAATAGGTATCTTGCTCAACCAATAGTCAACCCCTTTAAGAACAGGAATACTTCCTTTTTAATCACTTTTGGAAATTGTTTGTTAACTGCTTTTCAGCTATAAGGAACTTTTGCATTGACAGGTTTTAAAGCTACAGAAGAGTTTTCTTCAATCCTTAGCAAAAAAAAAAATGAGTTTCAGGACTTGAAAGCATTTTTGGAACAACTTTGGTTTTGGAGAATTACAAATTGACTGAAGGTCCAGATGAATTTAAAATATTTTTTTGGAATTAATTGTAAGAATCTTTTCTATGGGAAAATATTTTGGTTTTGAATTCTTTAAAAAATGATAAGTTTAGAAACTAGAGCAAACTAAAAGGAAATTAAGATTATATTTAAAGGAAGAGAACACCTTAATTGAAATTTGAATGCTATACAGAATACAGCAAAATAATAAAATATTTGACATTTTTGAACAATACTCAGAATTTAATTTTAAAGAGGGTCAGACTCTATAGATAGACTGTGTTTAAAAGATGGTGGAAGAAGAACAATTGTCACCAGACAAGATTAAGACTGATCTGAAAATGAATTTTAAAACGAAAAACTACAAAACCGTTATGGAAAAAGATGGTATATTCGATGTGCAAAATAATCCAGCTAATTTCTTAATAATTAAAATGATATACAAATAACAAACCAAGAGACAAACCTGGATAGTCCTTCTATATTACATTTACAATTGGCTTGGTAATACTTTGTAGAATTTTATAATAAGGGACAAAGGAAAAAAATGAAAAGAAATTAGTTTTAGGACATAATTTGAAGAGACTAAAAGATCAAAACTATTAAAACTACAAGGGTATGAAGTTGGTTTATTTGATCAAGATTAAAATATATATGTTGCTAACTCTGGTAATTCTCAATGGACTTTTGTGATCAGATATAAAATAACAAGATTATTAAGAATGTGTTTATAAACAAGGAATGGGATATAAGAAATAGATTCATTTTATTTTAAGAGGAAGAGATAAATTACTAAAATGGTTTATAATTGTGATGAAGGGAAAGTCATTTCTTTATCTTTTTCATTGTTTAGTTTTTAGTTTGTATTAATTTTTATCATTGTAGTTTTAATTTTTAATAAAATTACTATTTAAAAAAGTGAAACTAATGATATATGTATTAATGACCTGAACAATATTTTAGCCATAATTAAATGTATTTTCTGATTTTAATTATTTTAAGAGAACTGTCTATAGATTGCATATGATTCTTCACTCTCCTCCACATTGTACTTTAAAATGATATTTATTTGCAATTGCATCAAGGACTGGGACAAGATTTTTTTAAATTCAATATTAGACATGGAATCTCATCAGCACTTTTAATGCAAACAATGTTTGACCATGTTTTAGAACTTCCCCTGAAGACAAAGGATTTGTTTGGAACTAACTAAAAAAGAAAGGCATTTCTAAAGCAGTCTCCTTCCTCCATATTTATCTTTAGGTCTTTCTAATACCCAATTGCTATTTCAGTATAAAATTACACTTTGCTTCCACTCTGAATTTCCAATTCAAAAGATGAAGAGTACTCACATGGAGGAAGCATTTCAACAGTGTAGTATCAATTATCTGTATCAATTTCTTTTTGGATTTTATGGTAGGAGTTCCCTCCATGAGGGGAGATGTAGTGGACTGATGGTCAGAATCATATAGCTTCTTCACTAACTGACTTCGTTTCTGTAAAGAGGAAATAAAGTTAAGATTACGCCCTGCCCACATTACTCAAAATAAAAGCCAGTGAAGCCTCATTATTTTAGTTTTTCTGTACTCTTTAATTCTTATTACTCGAATCTCTCTGTCTTCTTCTTTTTCCATTGTTTTGTTACACTTGACTCTCCACTCCGTCTCTTCTCTCTACTTCTCTCTACAAAATCTTGACTGCAAGCTTCCTGAGAAATGGACTCAATTTCTTCACTATATAGAGCAAGACAGTGAAAGTTGGTCACTCAGAGAAACTACAATTTTGTTTTCTTAGCATGATGACTTCTCATATCAAAGCTCTAATATAACCAGATCATAACTTGCCCTCACTCAAATCCATTTTAAATGTTAAATAAAACAAGAACATGACATTCTATACTTCGGAAACAAATCTGGAGGTGGTGTCTAACATAAGCAGCCACTGGGAAAGCACAATAAAGAGATAAATGCTTACATGAGTTAGGTAATCTATAAGTGCTAGGTGTGCTTTTTCTAGCTCCGCTGCAGAGAGACTTGGCACTGCATTTGGATACTGGAGCTGTTTTTTGTAATCACCGGGCAACAATTCAGGATAGAGACCTATCACATGTGTAGGATCTGAAGAACAAAAACACAAGTGTGGTAGGTCAAAATATTTTCAACAAAAATGCAAATTATAACAAATTTAAATTCACAGTATTTATCTCTTTAACTTTCTTTTATCATAAAGAAACTAATTTGACTAAGATCTATTTCAGTAGTAAAATATGATGGATTCAACAACATGAATATGGCTGGCTTGAAAATCATAAACTGGAAAGAAATACCAAGTGAATTTCACTATGCTTAATCATGAGCTTCGTATTCTTTAACATTTTAATTAATAACTTGAGCAAGGGGGCTGAGAGAATGCATTTCAAAATTTTAAGCAATCTAAACATAGTAAAGTAACTATTAACAGATACGGTATTCAAAATAATTGAATAGAGTAGACAAATGGGTTGTAAATAACAGTGACATTTAACAGAAACAAAGAGTTTTTTCACCTAGAAAAGAAAAACCAAATATGCAGGGATAAGATGGGGGATTCCTGGTTTGGTAGTAGTTAAAAAGACGTCACAAAAGTAGTGGATTACAAATTGAATGAGTCAGCAGCACAATGTGGCTGCAGTTTTAGGCTTCATCAACAGAAGTAGTTTCTAAAGCAGGGGAAGCAATATCTTTACTAGATTCTGCATTAATTAGTTAAAGACTTGTTAACCATTACATCCAGTTTTAGATGAATAGTGAAGGAAACTCAAACAAACTGAACCAGTCAAGAAAAGAATACTGAGGATCAGGTCAAAATTAAGTCCTTTGAGACAAGAAACTGGGAATGTTTAGTTTTGAGAAGGCTGGGGGTAGGGGGGGCATGATTATATTTTTCCAAGCCTGAAAAAAACTGTCAAACAGAAGAAAGCCAAAGAATCTTCTCTATCATTTTGGAGGACAGGACATGGAACAATAGATTTAAGTGACAGAAAAACAGATGCCAATTGAATGTTTAAACATTTTGACAATAGGAATAGATTCACAGTGGAACTAATCATCCAAAGTAAAGGTTGTATATCCATTTGTCACTAATTCTTCAGTTTCCTACATGAAATGGGAGACTTGATTATTTAAATGGCCCATTTTAGTTCTATTATTTTATTTCTTTTCTAAAACTATGTATACTAATATTCTGTGCATAACTTTTAAAATAATTTGTTGCAGTTCAGTACTACTGAAATTCCAAATATAAAATAATGAGTGTTCTTTCAATATAGGGTCATCATCTTGCAGTGAGATGGGCAGCAAACAAATGTAATACATAAATAGTTTTTTTAAAAAAAAGATGTCAAGTTACTGCTGCTGATAAATTTACTTTTTACCCAATGGCATCCATGGCTAGTTTTCACATGAAATACTTATTTCTATACTAAAATGCTTCTATGTTTTTGTGGCACTCTCTCAACATTGCAAGATAAATGTAACATTGTAATTTGTAATATTGGCAGAAGAGTATTTTGATATTTTGATCTACAGTTCAGCTATGCATTTTCAAGAATCTTTCCAGGGAGATTCATAGGAGACTACAAGTTACAAGAGGAAATGTATCTCTCTTGTCTTCTCGGCAATAACAAAAAGAAACATTCCACAGGATGTTCTTACAAAAATCCAAACACGAACGCTTATTTATAGCTTTTTACAGATGTGTTTTAGTAATATTTAATTCTCCTTGCATAATTTAAAGCGAGGCTGGAAATGAAAATCTACCTGTCCCAAGTTTAGCAAAAACTTGCATTGATTCATCAAAGCGCTTTTGGCAGAAAAGGTTGAAGGCATAAAGATTCTTAATGTGATGGATCTGTTGCTGTTTTTCATTGTCAGAATCATCTTTCATATCCTAACAAGTTTAAACAGAAGCAGAAAAAAATACTTTATTCACCATAAACTCTTGAAGTGGAAAAGAAAAAAATCAAGAATTAAAAATGCAAACCTTTAGGAAATAGCACACTGGCTCTAAAGGAAATTGATCCTTGGTAATGAAAAAGTACATTTGAATATACTTGTGGGAAAAATTGTTCATGCAAGCCAGGATATATATTTCTATCTCAGTTATGCTATCCAAGAAGAAGAACACAAATACGTTTCTTGAGTGTGGCAAACTTTATTGTCACATTTGTAGTCCATGAACACTGAGACCATAATAAATATCTGAGTAATACATAGTAGCCCTAAATAAGAAGTTCAAAAAACCAGTGCATTCAAAAATATAACTGCACTGAATGGATCAAACAGTGACATAACTCACAGTTACTGCCCTCGGTATACACTCTCCAATCCCTGAGATGCATATAACTACACTTCAAAGCCTTGAACAGAGTCGTCCAAATCCCTCCCAACATTACTGCTAAGTTGTAAAGTAATGTGACAGGAGGAGAAAAATATGAAATACATGAGGAGCTGCAATATTAACATGATTTAAATAAAAGTAAAGCAAGTGATACCATTATTTCAAAAAAATTGCACCTTTGACATAAGGCAGTGCTCACATGATTGATTCTCGCAAACAAGAGATATCGGTATTAACAATCATTTAAGTGTTTTTGTAGCCCACTTCATAGGTAAGTACAATCAGATTAATAAACATTTTTATCACACACAAATTGTGTATTTTGCTAATTAAATCTTTCAGAGAACTAGGGTTTTTTTATTTTAAGTTTGTTCCAAATTTAAAGATCTTGGTTATAGACTTTAAAGCAAGCCAGGAAAGTTTCATATTGTATCTTGTTCCCAAAATGTAACCACACTTTCTTATTTAATGAAATAAACCCTGATTTGTTCATCTCCACTATGTTACAATCAAAGCTTATTATAATCAACCTGAATCAAACTAAACCAACTTCTACAGATTTAGAGGATAAGCACTAAATTTTGCAGTTACTCATCACTATATGCTAATTAACAAATAATTTAGTCTTTAAAGAGCACTTTTACTAGATAGCAACTTATAAATGTAATTATTTCTCAGAATCACTCAAGTTCTGTGAACATACTAATAATGTATGGCTTTGTGAGTCCCAGTTAGTTATTTAAAACACAATTGACTAGGTTCATCCATCATACTAAACCAAATACAACTGATACCTCATTATGGTTTAGTATGACACAGGACCCCAAGTATAGAATGAAAATATATTTAACCTTTCACTTACCGCCAATTGCAAAGCCAATTCAAACTGTTTATCTTGGAGGAGCTGCTGAATCTGGGTTGCAATGGAAACTGGAATGAGGCGCCAAACAAAATGATTGCTGGCCACATATACAATATTAGGACTAAAATAAGGAAAAAGATACAGTCAGCAATGTACCTTAATCAGATTAAAGGGCTAACTCCCCTTTGCTCAACAATTCTTTAAAATTAATAATTCAACAGTATTTTATATACAAAATAGGAGAAAAGTAGGCAATTAAAGCTTTCCTACCCTCCAGAAGTAATGAAGCGTGGCTTATGTAGTTCAATACTCTGAACCAGGAGACGGGGCTCAAACGTACGAATCTCTACATATCTTGGCAATACTGCGACCACGTATGGAGTCTGATGTTCTATTATGGAAACAAATCAATCAGCAACAGCATACAGACTTAAACAACTTTCCATTCAAGAGGAGCAATTTTTTTATTACTTTCTTCATCCCCCTTGTCTTTTTAATCATTTCTCTTCTAACACTACTGTCCTTTATGATAACAGCATAACCTCATCTCAAACCATTGCATTTATTGGACTCAAAGACTGGTAATGTCACTGGGTTTCTGGTATACAAGTACAATATTTATTTAATACCGTCTTTCCTCCAAGAACTTAACTTAGCCATTTCCCTCATTCATCCTACTCTTTTCCTATAACAACCCTGTGAAATAGAATGGGACAAAAGGAGTGACTGGTCCATAGTCACCCCATGAGTATCTATGGCCAAAGATAAACTAAAATCTGAGTCCCTCCAATCCTAATCAAATTTATTCACCATCACACAAAAAATGACAAAATCTTTAATTATTCAGACTGCAATCTGATTTATAATAGGTTGTCAAACAGCTGATATTGTTAGTTTACTAACTGGTATCTTTGCCTATACATTCTGAAACCTGGAAATTAATCAGTGGATTAATAGGATATAGAGAAATCTTTGGACGTGTTACATTCAATGTTCCCTCTAATTTTTTTTCAGTGTGAGCAGAAAAGTATAGTGTTTGAGCGGCATATTTTCATGCCTGAGCACCTTAATTTTTTTCACAGATGTCACCT